CATGAACTGTATATGACAACTCATAGTATGATATGCAACATATCAGCTCAAAGTCTCTCTGCATCTTGTCTCCTTGAGCTGATTGTTCTCATTCAGATTGCACTGTTCAGTTTTTCACAGCCTCCTTGAAGCTCAGGTTTGCTGTACAATATTTAGGCTTCTGTAGCCCAAGATGATTGTGGATATAAAATGCCATGTCTGGTACCAAACGCTGAGCAGCTGCTCTTAGGAGTAGAGGTTTGTCTGCCAGATTGAGCTGCTTTAGTAGAGGAGAGCTAGAGATTTAGTTTTCATTGCCTTATTAGCAATGAGAAAATTATTGCCTGTAGCAAACTGTCTGGGCTGGTGCTCCCTGTCCATGTTCTCCTGGTGTGTGCCACGTAACTTTCTGGCTAATATTTCTGGTATCATTACTGAGACATAAATGATAAATATCACTGAGCACATGACAAACTAGATAAAATATCACAACAGCATCATAGAAAGTGTTGTTTTTAAAGCCACCCGGATGTATTTACCTCTCTCAGCTCTCGAGTACAACACAGCTGATTTAACCAGTGAGAAATTTCAGGAGAGGCTGTTTTGATGCTGAGGTTGACAGCAGCAAAGGTATAATCTAAGATGGTCAGGTGCTGCTTTCCAGTGATAGTTACAGGCCCAGAACAGGTAACAGTCACTGTATTATCCATCACTTTGGGGTTTTTGTTTGTGATAATCAGCATAGCAAGATTTTGAGGGGGTTATTTTGTTTCTTCTTGGCTTTTAAGGCTTTGGCAACTTGTTCTGGTGTCCCCTTAGGCTCTCTGTATTTGCACTCTTGCCTTTTGTGTAGCTCAGCTCTTCTTTCAGCTTATAATCAGTATGCCAAATGCAAATCCTGAATGTGCTTGTAAAGAATTAGTGGCCTGCAAGTTGCAGCTGAGTGGTGCCATGGCCAGCTTGGTAAGTTTTAAAGTCCACCAGAACTACACTAGCAAACTCAAGGAGTCAAACTTTACCTCTCAGTTCTTAGAGCATGGAAGACATTAGGACCAGGAACGCTTTTTTAATGTGTGTTCATTCTCTTGCAATGATGGACTCTATTGAAATACTTTGCTTTAAAGGAAACTGCTTAATTGGGTGGTAAGAGAGTATTGATGGGAAAGGAAAACGACTGGAGGGTGGGGATTGCAAGGTGAAGTGTGTGGTGCCTTCTGAAAGCACCAAACCACCTGCATTTGCCTACTGACCTTTCAGCCACATGATAACAGGTCATCCTGTGTCTGTACAAACTGGTAGAGGCTCCTGAAGCCTCTGTTTTTTCAGGGATGGATTTGTGATTTCAGAGAAAATCAGAGCCTAAATTCAGTGTTGCTGATGTGTAACCTGTTTGCTGTGTAACAGATGAGTAACTGCCTTTTTTCCCTTTAGCTCGTTCAGTGTTTTCTTGTTTCCTTTTTGTGCTTTTCAACCTGCACAGGGAAGAGTAAACCTTAGAACCTGTAGATTCATAACAAGAGACTGGCCTGATTGAAGTATGGTCTTTGTGGAATGTGACTGGGCCATAATAATAACCTCTGAAAGCACTTTGTGTGAAAATAATTTCCCCTTTACTGCCTGATAAGTTTTTCAAGCACAGTCACAGTTCTTGTCTAGAAAGCTGAGTTCACTCTGTTTAAGTGTTGTTCCTCCTCCCCCAGCCAAGCTCAGATTTACAGTTAACCATGACCACTTGACTTTTCAGACTTTCTGATGTGTATCTTCTTTGTTTTTCACAGAGACTAATAGACAAGTCCAGAGTAACCTGTGTAAAATGGGTACCAGGTTCGGAAAGCCTTTTCCTAGTAGCTCATTCCAGTGGCAATATGTACTTGTATAACGTGGAGCACACTTGTGGTACCACAGCCCCGCACTACCAGCTGCTTAAACAAGGAGAGAGCTTTGCAGTGCACACTTGCAAGAGTAAATCCACCAGAAACCCTCTGCTTAAATGGACAGTAGGTGAGGGTGCCCTGAACGAATTTGCCTTTTCCCCAGATGGGAAGTTCCTGGCGTGCGTGAGCCAGGATGGTTTTCTCCGCGTGTTTAACTTTGATTCCGTGGAATTGCATGGTACAATGAAAAGCTACTTTGGAGGACTGCTGTGTGTGTGCTGGAGTCCCGATGGGAAGTACATAGTGACAGGTGGAGAGGATGACTTGGTGACAGTTTGGTCGTTCGTGGACTGTCGGGTGATAGCCAGAGGCCACGGACATAAGTCGTGGGTCAGTGTCGTTGCGTTCGATCCTTACACCACTAGCGTAGAGGAGAGCGACCCGATGGAATTTAGTGGGAGTGATGAGGATTTCCAAGACCTCCATTTTGGCAGAGATCGAGCCAATAGTACACAATCTAGGCTATCCAAAAGGAACTCTACAGACAGTCGTCCGGTCAGTGTGACATACAGGTTCGGTTCGGTAGGCCAGGACACGCAACTGTGTTTGTGGGATCTCACAGAAGATATCCTCTTCCCCCACCAACCTCTCTCCAGAGCAAGGACACACACAAATGTCATGAACGCCACGAGTCCACCTGCAGGAAGTGGTGGAACTAACCCGGGAAGCAATGGAAACAGTATCACCACACCTGGAAACTCTGTGCCCCCTCCTCTCCCACGGTCCAACAGCCTCCCACACTCTGCAGTCTCAAACGCTGGCAGTAAGAGCAGTGTCATGGATGGTGCCATTGCTTCTGGCGTTAGTAAGTTTGCAACCTTATCGCTACACGATCGGAAGGAAAGACACCACGAAAAAGATCACAAGAGAAACCATAGCATGGGACATATATCTAGCAAGAGCAGTGACAAACTGAACCTAGTTACTAAAACCAAAACGGACCCAGCTAAAACTTTGGGAACACCTCTCTGTCCCCGAATGGAAGATGTTCCCTTGTTAGAGCCTCTTATCTGTAAAAAGATAGCACATGAAAGACTGACTGTGTTAATTTTTCTTGAAGACTGTATAGTCACTGCTTGTCAGGAGGGATTTATTTGCACATGGGCAAGGCCTGGTAAAGTGGTAAGTTTTAATCCTTAATGCTGCATCAAAGAACTAGAACTCTGAATAGATAGTTTTCTTGAAATATAAATGAATGTTGAATATAAAAATTTCTTTATGCTTAATGTAAAAAAAAAAATATCCTCAGAGCCATACTTTTGGATACTGCATGCCATATTTCTGAATGATTTGAAGTGTCTTGGATACAATTATTAAGTAGAGTTGCCTTCCAGCAGAAGAAATAAATACTGTGCATCTAAACTATTGATCAGTGTTCTTATACTTAAGCATAACCACGATATGGTGAAAGCTATTGATGTACAAATCGAAGCAAAAACCTGTCAATCACTAAAGTAATGATAATCCTTCTAATGTTTCCTCCAAAATCCAGCACTCCCAGTGAGAGTAGCTTATGGAAAGCTGCTGCTTTTAAGTCTAATGAGAAGTGTGAGCCTCTGGAAAAACGAAAACCAAAGTGTTTGTTCCTCCACACCTGCCATTAAACCACTTCCTGTTCCAACCTCAGCCACTTTGTGCTGATCTGTGAGCCCTTCCCTGGCTGGAGTTTGTACTCCAGGATTAGCAAGGAACTCTCATGTTAGCCAGGTCTTGCTTTATGTGTTTCAGTTAGGGAAAACCCTGCAAGCTTCAGCAGTTTGAGTGTTCTGTTCCTGTCTGGTTGGTTAGGCAGTTCCATCACTGCTAAGCTCCTGCTTGTTGATGACACATGCTCCATCAGTTGAACTTACCTTAAAAATCTATTCCTAGTTTTCACTCTTCTTGTTAATGCACTTGAACACCTATGAAACTTCATTTTTCTGCTGTCCAGTGTCTGGTTACATTGGGAATGAAGCTAAATGTGGTGATTCTTCTGTTAAAATGTCCTTTGTGCTACACTAGTTCTGTCTGCCAGCAACAATGCAAAGGAGTACAGCTGTGGCAGCATTACCAGGGGTGATCTAGCCAAAAAGGAGCCTTAGCTTTGTGAAACTTTCTGAAAGGGGATGTAGGTTATCACCTGCAGTAAAAGCAGCAACCTGGTAATACCTGAATATTGCCACGCTGGGCAGTGTAAATGCAAACCTGTTGCTTGTTAGCTTCCAACCATTTAGTCCTTAAATCTGACTTGTGAGCAGAGGAGGCACTGTATGTATTTAGGTACCACATCTCCATTGCTAGGAACTTCCAAGTAAAACTCTATAGTTTTCCTTCGATCTTTGTGTGACGTAGTTTCTTTGGGATGTTCCCAGATCTGTCAGACACAGGTGTGTGTAGAGCTGTGTCTGCATCTCAGTGCACCTCTAGAGGTGGAATCCAAAACTCCTTTCCTGGGAGAAGGGAGGAGGGTGTCACCTAGAAGTGTGTTTTGCCTGAGAACTGCAGCCCCAGCATTAACTGACACAGAGAGCACCCCAAAATCCTCCTTGAAACGTTTGTCCTGAGCAAAGACACTCGAGCAGTTTTCACTGGGTGACTCAGTGCACTTCACTCTCTGATCCACCTTCAGGTGCTTTCAGCAGTGCCTCAGGTTGTGTTGTGAGCTCTGTTTTTGTGCTCAGACTCCTTTGCATCCCAGTAAACACTACAGTTATTTCCTCTCAGTGCTGAGGTGGGTGTTGTTAGTGTAACTCCAATATTTTTGTGCGTTGGCTTTGATTTGGAACATGACATTTCAAATATTTCAGAGATAAAGTATGCAGTACCAAAAATCAGGATTTATGTATTGGCCAATATGGAAAACTTTAATTACAGGTAAGTAATTTTCATGCTGAAGTTATCACTTTCAAAATGAATATATTGCACACTGATGTAAATGCCATATTGTTTAGGATGTATTTACTTAGAGATTTTTCCAATTGATTTGTTGTTTGTTTTTTTTTTTTTCCTGATTTCACTTGCATTTCTAGTGAGCTCACTCTGCTGGTAAAAACTCAGTTTTGGTGGCATGTTTACAGGGCTTTGATAGGAAAATACTTGTGCCAGAAGGAGGTTCTGAGCATCCTTTTTGTTTATAGGAAAGCACTTAATTTTATTTAATGAGAACTGTCAAAGTATAAAACACTCATGGGGATGTCTTTCTTCCTGGGTTATATACCATCATTTCTGTTTCACCAGCTGTTTTATCTTAGGCTGTCCCATTACTCTGAGGCTCAAAGTTGCTATTTCTAGTCTTCCTTTTGAAATATGTGTCCCCAAGTGATCTTAAAACTCAGTCACTTTTTTTTGTCTGCCAACACTAGAGAGCGAAAGCCTCTGAATCTTGCTGCTGCTTCCATCACTGCCTCCACAGGCCTTGGTTAAATTGATGGCACTGCCAGCCTAAGGAAGGATGGGATGGAAAAGTGAAGGAGGCTTGTGGTGTCTTGTGTAATTTGCATTGAGCCAGTGCTTACCTTTCCCTCTCCTTGCCCACAGCCTCCAAAAGACACTCTGGGTAACTGGGCAGTGTGTGACAAGCTCTCTTGATTTTTCTGGTGGGGCTGGTGCTGCCCTTGGTGGAAAATAAATCCAGAAGTGTCTCTTCAGCCACGATCCTTGTGATGGGCTGTACAGTGCTGACAGTTTGGCTCTAAACTTTACTGCTTCAGTGTAGATATCATCCTACCTTGAGCTTCCTCACGGGATGTGCTGTTCCTGCATTGCACTTCCAGACCTGCTCTGCCAGCTCCCAGTCAGTGAATGGCAAAATTCCATTAGGAACAACTTGGATGAGGCTCAGGGTTCATTGGTTTCAATTTTTTTGCTCATTTTTTGGTCGCCTGTTTCTGTGGAAGAAGGTTCAGGGTGGTGAGAAAATAGGTTGCCTTAACAAGAGTGTGAAGTTTTCTTCTCAGCATGGTGACAATTAGCTGTCATCTCTCACCCCTGTCTTTCCCAGGCCCTGATGGGAAACCTAAATGGGATTACAGAACTGTTGGATTAATCTGAGAACGTAGAGAATGGTAAAGGAACCAAGGTAAACTTTGTGTGCTGTCTTTATAGCTCCTTCCAGCTGAATTTCAGGCTCTGCAGAAGCAGTTAAAAAAACCTGACAAAACCAACCCACAGAACCCCTGACAAACCAAAGTGGTACCTAGATATGCAAAAGGAGTTTCCTCTGAACTTAAGTGGTCAGAGGAACTACCTCTGTGGTTTCTGTGTTTGAGTTTGAAGTTGACTCTTCCCTCCCTTGCACAGCCACTGCATTTCAGCAGAGTGGAAGTTGCTGGTGAGTTTCCTGTGTAAGAAAGCTCAAGGTAAGATTGGCCAGAAGCAGGAGCAGGTGAAATGGCAGTGTATAACCTAGCAAGAGAAACATGCTACCACTTTGTAAAACAAATGCACATTGGAGTTTATTTATTTGACTTTTATTGTACAGGAAAACTTAGACTTAAATTATAACATCCTTGAATTTCCTAGTTAACTACAATTGTAGTACAGTATCATGTTCTAGTATGACTTCTGTTCTAGTGAGAGTACTTAAACATTCACGTCCTGTATTCGAGTGAGGTGAGAGCTACACATCCTAATTCTTCCTCAGTGGAAAGAAAGGAGCATTTCAGCATGACAATTGAAGTTCAATTGCTGGTGCTGAAGTACTGTGGAACAGGTTTCTTTCCAGGCGATACAGTATCTGTATAACCTTCAGGGATGATGACTCTAGTCAGACTGAAACAGCTCTAAGACTTCAGGTTACCACACTAAAGTTGGAAGCTCTGTGTGATGTGCATCCTGGCTGAGCTGCACATGGCAGAGCCACATGGTCAGGGGGAGTTTGGCCCTCATACACTGGTGTGATATTTATACGAGCTCTGTGTGTGTGTGCGTGTATGTCTGTGTGTGTGAGAGAGGTGTGAGCAGTGGCTCCAGGAGAGACCAGAACCCTGTAAAGGCTTTATGATGTCTGGATTAGGAAATAACATGACTTTTACTAAACACTTCCTAGAAGACCCATGTTCTGAGTGATCACCTCTTAAACTCGGAGTCTGTACTTGGAATGACTGTCTGTGTCTGCCCCTTTAACACCACCAAGCTACTAAATCCCTCTTTGAAATGCTGGCCTGCTTCTGTTACAATAATAAAATCTGTGTCAGTTCATTTCCTGTCGATTTACATGTAAAGATGAAACGACTTTTATTTTTTTTCCTGCATTTTATGATTCTGTATACTGGAGTTTGTTAAAGATTGACATGTTAGGTGATACTGTACAAAATTGTATTGACTACCTTTAGTGCAAATCAAAAGTAAAATTCATATGTATTTCCTTTTTACACTTCCATCTAATTTCTTGACAACTTGAATAAATTTCATAGAGCCTTTCTAACATGAACTATTGTTAATTTAACTGTTGCAATAATTAAGCTTTAAGAAGTATTGTTGGTATATTTATAATTTTAAGAAGATCATGTTTGTTTCATACTGCTTATTTTTAGCTGTTCTATTGTCACTGTTACAGCTGAAGAACTTTACTAAATACTTGACATTACAAAATAACTCGCTGGGGTTGTCCTCTGTATACTGATGTTAAATAAAAATGTGTGATTGAACTGTAAATGTAGATAACTTTCCATAGTCCTTTCCACATTTGAGTTTTAATTTATCTTGCAGCCCTTAGGTGGTCGTGGTCTGTCACCCTGAACAAATGGCCACACAGGCTGGTGACCTGCCATGATTTGAAGTGAAGGAGCTGATTGCATCTCTAACCTGTTCTGAGCAAATGTTCCCCTTCACCTCAGGCTGGCACAGGTTTTGGTGTTTCAAGCTGGAAGGTCATGGCTCGTGGTAGCTCTGTGTTTTAGGCCTAGAGTAACATGACATAGAGTGCTTACCAAGCCACTGATTTCAGCTCAGATTCAGGAGAACACACAGATGTGTCCAGATTCTCTCACACTGTCAGGAGCAGAGTGTTGTCCTTCCTTCCAGGACTCTACAGGAGCTCTTTCCTCTCTGGTGCTTTGCCATGTGCTTTGCTCCAGCTGTAGATCTTGGTGTTTGCCTAATGAACACTGAATTTCCAGCCCCAGGGATGTGGCTCTCACACT